CCTGTTAGTCAGATGGAAAGTTTGTGAATAAAATACAATCACAACATATGTATTTTTATGCTGTTATCGCCTGTTATGACCAAGATGCATACATATGAGGAACTATTTTATTTACACAACCCTGATGCTCATGTGGTGTTGTCGTGTTGTTATGCGCATATCAATCCTACGTCAATAAATGCTTTAGGTACCAATGACAGTACAAGCAAGTGGTCTAGTGGTTTCCCCGGAAGCAAGTCTACACTGCCCGAGCCAACATCCCAACGCAGTACACAAAGGAACTCATCAACGAGAGAGCCATTCATGTACTCCGCACCAGAGAGAAGCATAGACGAGTCACGCGAGGCATCCCTGAAGGCTCAGAATGGAGGTACCCGAGTAGTAAGACATAACAGAGTAATCAGTATGTGTGTCTGGCCACGCTAATCCAACTTTAGCTAGCCTAGGCTAGTAGTAAGTGGGATACAGTGTAGCCCCGTTATAACGCGATGGTTGGGGTCCATAAAATGTCATCGCGAAAAAAGCGGGGTCGCGCTAAATCAGGGTTATATATACGTGGCTATATAAATGCAAAACAGGAGGTCGAACGACTCATCGCGTTAAATCGGGGTGCGTTAAATCGGGGTTCCACTGTACCTAAATTATAAACAGTAGCAAACTGATATGTGATTGCTGATCTTAACTTGAGGGCTATAAAAAAAAAATTCCATATAAACACTGTCATTGGTATCAGCTGTCTTTTTTTTGTTAATCATATAAGTATTTGTTTGTGTTTTTATTTCAGATATACAGTTTGGGATAGCCAGATTAGTCCATCCAGCTTCCAGAGCTTTTCCCCCAGCACAGTCCAACTTGAAGTCATTCAATTTGAAGCCAAGCCTGTCATCAACACCCACAGTCAACAGCCAGTCTAAGCGACTCATTGGTAGTAGGCTTTATTAATTTTCTTTTTAATCTTGAAATTCTGACCATTATAGTTCGGAAGGAAGTACTTTAAATGAGGGCTAGTTTATATTGTGTGCATTATTACGTACTTAACTTTTTCCATCTTGTTAATGCTTTTCTGGTCAAATTAAAAAGAATTGTTGAGATTTCATACGCGGCAGATTCTACTTAATAGTCTACGAAAGAAACTTTTTTAGAAGTACGTCAACGGCTTTTTACACCTTGCCCGTCAATATTCAGCTTCCGAGACGGTCACAGGCCGAGCCCTCTTCCACTCGCCAGGAAACTTCCCGTTGTCAGAGGAACCCTCCCCTGTCAGTGCGTTTGGTCACATGCAGAGCACAGTGTGCAGTCAGCAGACGCTGAGCAGCCTAGCAGGAGAGGAGTGCGGGATCCAGAGGTAGGGGGCCTGGTGTTGACTGCGGCAGCTACCATCACACAGCTACCTATGCAGACCATGATGTCACACCGCATTTTGAATTCCTCACCATTCCAATTGCCGTTTATGTAATCTCCTGCGGTTACATCTAGAATCTCCTGTATTTTAACTATTGTTTGCCATGTTTTATGTTGAATCGTCTATATATTACATCTAGAATCTAACCAGGGTACGTTCCGGTATACCAGACCGTACCCAGGGTATGTTCCGGCAGTACCCTGGGGGACATAGACCCTCTCATCTGCAGCAACATGTGAGCTTTGCTTATTAGTGATTGGTGTGTTTGTATTCAGCTGGCTGGTGATGGTGTGTGTTTTAATTAGGCGGGTTCAACCTGATCCAACCTACGCGTGAGAGTAAACATTGGACCCACAGTGGTTACATGTATGTGCATGCAACAACCTGGAAGTTACGACTGTTCAAACACATTTATATCATTGCCTAGTCTCTAGCTGTGTATTTTAGTATGATTGTGAGTCTGTGACTATCATGGTTGTAGAAAACGCGGGAAAATTTCCGTAGCAGTGGCGTCAGAACGATATCAAATCATCACTAGTTTTTTCAAAAAGTGTATGCATCACCGATGTTCCTATATGTCTGGTTCCTGTAAACATTGAAGTGATGCTCACTGTGTCGCCACAACCTCAAAAGAAATATGCGTTTGCCTGACAACATGCGGTCTTACATTTGCTGCAGGTGCACCTTGTGGCAAGAGTTAGCCGAGTGTTTTCAGGGCTGCCTGCCTGCGGCGCACGATGAGGGACACAGAAGTGATTGTTTACCAGGACCTCGATGCCAGCCTCGGTGAGGGAAACAATTGTGGCAATTTTCTATTAGATAGAACACAAAGAAAACGTGTCGTATGATGAGGTTTGATGATGTTTCGTTTCATGAGATGTGAGGGTGTTTGTTTGAGGAGTGTGGGGTTTGTTCCAAATAATGTGATGGTGTTCATTTTAGGCAAAGTAAGCGTGTAGATTTAAGGAGATCTGAGGGTGTTTATGTGAGGAGATGTGACTGTAACACTTTTCATTTGACGTGTTTGAGAAGGTGTAAAGTTTTTCATTTCACAAGATGTGAGGATGTTCACTAGTGGAGATGCAGAGGATATTCGTAAAGTGAGATCTAAATATGTTTGCTCAATAACGCGGTATGTAAGGATATTTGTTTGGTGTTATATAAGGATGTATGTTCATACTTGCAGGTATAAAGGTGATGGGTGGTGTTGACTCATCAAAAGGGAAGCACTACGGCATCTTTGTGAGGAGGGTACTCGTTGGTGGTTTCGCTGCCGACGACGGTATTGCCCACAGTCTTTTATAAGCTAAAGGAAAGGAATTAATTCATCATTAATCTATGGCGCCTGAAGCCCACTGTGCAAAAATCCGTCCCGGCCAATTGGCAGAAATGTCACGAGATTTGTTTTGCTGGTCGCCGGTGTTGTATCATGTTCACGTTTGGTCATCATGCAGGGCGTCTAAACGAAGCCGATCAGATCCTGACTGTCAACGGCCATGACCTTGAGATGGCGACGAGAGATGAAGCCATCCGGGTGCTGAGGGAGGCGGTGGCGGTGAATTGCGTCGACATGATTGTCACGAGAGACGAGAAGGCCAGGTGCGGCATCTGCCAGCGCGAGCAGTAGGGAATTTCCACTACCTAAAATGGCATAATGCAGAACACACCCACACACACACGTACACAATCTATTAACCGAAATTCTGAAAACCTAAAAGCTCCGAAAACCGACAGTTTTTTTGTAGAGCTCGTCTGCACACCAAAGCTCGCGTTTGGCTGCACAAGGTTCACTGCAGAAATATTAATATCATATTATTATCCGGTACATTAATATCCGGTACAGTACAATATGTATGAGTAATGCCGAACATATTAAATATGGATTGCTGATCTTAACTTGACAGCTATAAAAAAAAATCACGTATATTATAACACTGTCATGTGAGTATCAGCCTGTCTTTTTTTCGTAATCATATAAGTATTTTGTTTGTGTTTTTATAAGATATACCAGTTTGGCGATAGCAATTAGTCCATCCCAGCTTCCAGAGCTTTCCCCAGCACAGCCAACTTGAAGTCATTCAAATTTGAAGCCAGCCTGTCGTCAACACCCACAGTCAACAGCCAGTCTAAGCGACTCATGGTAGTTAGGCTTATGAATTTTCTTTTTGAATCTTGAACATTCTGACCATTATAGTTGAAAGGCCGACTTTAAAGAGGTAGTTTTATATTGGGGCATTATTAACGCACTTAACTTTTTCATCTGTGATTAATGCTTGTCGTCAAATCAAAGAATGTGTTGAGATTTCATTTTATACGCGGCAGAATGCTTACTAATAGTCTACGAAAGAACTTTTTTAAAAGCTACGTCAACGGCCTTTTTACACCTTTGGCCCGTTCAATGTATCAGCTTCCAGACGGTCACAGCCGAGCCCTCTTCCACTGCAGAAACTTCCCATTTGCTCAGAAACCCTCCCCTGTCAGTGCGTTGGTCACATGCAGAGCACAGTGGTGCAGTCAGCAGACGCTGCAGCCTAGCAGGAGAAGGAGTGCGATCCAGGGTAGGGGGGCCTGGTGTATGACTGCCGCAGCTACATCACACAGTACCTATGCAGACCATGCATGTCACACCAAATTTTGAATTCCTACACCGCTTCCAATTGCTATATGTAATCTCCTGCGGTTACATCTAGAATCTCCTGTATTTTAACTATTGTTTGCCATGTTTTATGTTGAATCGTCTATATATTACATCTAGAATCTGCCATGTTTAACTAGAATCTTCCGTGTTGCATCTAAAATCGCTGTATTTCATCTAGAATCTGCCATGTTTAACTTAGAATCTTCCGTGGTGCATCTAAAATTGCTTGTATTTCATCTAGCATCTGCTATGTTAATCTTGAGAATTCTTCCAGTGTCGTGGTGCCATTCTAAATTGCTTGTATTTCATCATCAGCATTCTCGCTATTGTTTAACCTAGAATCTCTGCGTTGCATCTAAAGTCGCTTGTATTTTCATGCTGGAATCTTGCCTTGAATCTTCCATGTCGTACTCAGGGTGATACGACTGGGAAGCCAGGACTCCGGCAGCATTGCGGCTGCGCGTACTGCAACCAGAGCGTGTCGCCGTCCGCTCCGGCGAGGCGGACGGTTGCCCACAACGATCGCGAGCGTTCAAATCCTGCGGGCTGTGCTTCGCCGGACTCTGAGCTTGAGACTTGCTGCGGATACGCGAGGGCAGCCGGCGCGGCGGAAGACAGCGACGTGCCCGATACACGACGGTTTGCAGCTTCGAATGAGAAGACGTGCCGCGGCCGCCCTCTGGTGGATCGCCGTCGCCGCGACACGCGTCTCTGTGTCCGCGCCTCGCGGGGAAGACGGCCACGCGACTTTCTGACGGCGGAAAGGACTTCCAGCGATCGCGAGACGGCGTCGCGACACGTGTCGCAGCTACCCGGCCGCGTACACCGCGCGCTGCGCTGCCGACATCAGCCCGATGACGTCGCGACCTCTCAGCCGCGCCACGGCGACGACGACGACGTTGGCAAGGTGAGTTCGTTTGCGCGAGGCGCAGGCCGTGAAGACGCGATTCACGCTGGACCGACGATTTCGCATTGAGAAGCTCGACAAACCTCACATCGCGTGCGTGCGACCTTCGCCGCCTGGTGATGCTGTCGTGTGTGGTCTGTATGTGTTTGTGCGTGATTTTTTCACTTGGTGTGTGAGACCGCCGCCGCTCGGTGGTGCTGTAGTAAGTCTGCTGTCTGTGATGTGTTTGTGGTGGATTTTTTCATTGGTTGTGAGACCCCCGCCGCTGGTGGTGCTGTCGTAGTCTGTGTCTGTGATTGTGTTTGTGGTGGATTTTCTCCATCGGCTGCGTGCAGACCCCGCGTGGTGTGCTGTCGTAGATCTGTGCTGCTGATGTGTAACTGTGGTGGATTTTTTCATTTGGTCCGTGTGT